TATTAAGGAGTCCTTATCAGTTGGGAAACTATTCTTATTTTTAGTAGTTTTAGTATTGTGTTCTGATTATTATAAAAAGACATTTAGATGTTAACTTTAATCATTCCACTAAATCATCTTTCTCTCCTTTCTCTTTTGACATTTATCAGCGATTTAACCTTCTCAATAGTGCCATTTCATAGTGTTTTTCCCGATTTTGGGCTTCCACTTTATATTGTGTTGTTCGATTGTATTTGTTCAGTGTTGATGTTTTTATATATTACCATTCGGCTGTGTACCAAATTTACCTCTAATGTGATGCTTGAGGGTGGGACAGTGTAGGCCAACTCGTGGTTACTAGAAAGTTAATTCTTCTGCAGAAATCTGGGTCTAATGGTGAAGGATATTTGCGTTTACTTGTTGATAAGGTCTCTTTGATTGCTTAGATCATTTAACATGATTATGACATGCAGTGGTAGTTGGAGTATTCAATAGAAAGTTGGCATGTTTCATGTGTACTATAAAAACAACTTAGAGAGTGTCTTCATCGTCAAATTATTGGTTTAGGCCAATCAAATATGTGGGTCATACTATTTTCCAAGATTATGATCAGAACTTTCTGTGTTTTAATTTAAGTCTGGAATAATATGCAAACAAAGAGAAAAATGGAAGAAGAGATCACCTGAGAAAAGAATACCAGAAGGCAGAGAGTCTTGAGGAACACAAACCCGAGTCTGATAGGAGTTAGAAATCTATTATTAAACCACTTCTGCAGAACCTTCTCCCTCTTATTTAAGGGAATTTCTGAGAATTTCTGTACGTATGGCCATTTATGAGATAAACAAAGAGATCCAGAAAGTAAAAAGGTACCCAGTCTTGTGGAAAGAAGTGCTACGACCAATCTCACCGCCATCACTGCTTCAAGAAACCCCCTCTTCATCAAATGATGAGCTACCTGTTTCCAATTCCATCACTTAGGTAACAACTAAAATTACTAGAATTCAAATTGAAAATATTGAACATTTAGATTGATGTTACCTTCGTTGGTACTGAGTATTGAGAGCCAGAAGCAGTTGAGAAGGAACGAATTGATTCTTCTACCTTGTTGCCATGATCATCAAGAGAATTCAAAGGGAGTGGTTGCAGGATGACGTCACATAAGCTGCTAAGAGTCTCCATTTCTGATGAAGAAAAGCTTTTAGTTTGGTAATCTTCGGCTCTCCCACCTCGTAACAGAGGGTGACACTCACCCTCATTCTCGTCATACATCTCTCTGTCTTTGTAAATTATGTTGATTTCAGGTGGGATTGAGGTTGTATATGTTTTGGTATCATATACTATGTTAATATTTATATATTAAAGGTTTTGTCAGGTTCCTCGACGTTGAAATATGGAAAGATGGGCCGGGGTCTCCTGATGTGTGTATAGTGAAGCTAAAAGCACAATTGTTTAACCGGTAGTAACTTTGATACTAACTTTGTTAATACCCATGTAGTCACATGCATACTTTGATATAAATTAAATATTGACTAAATTAAGTATTTTTTTTCTGTTCAGAATAAAATTACTTTAAGTATATATATATATATATATATATATATATATAGATCCGGTAAGAAGGAAATTTTTGGTGGGAAGGTAACAAGTTTTTTTTCTATATATTTTTTTGACGAATAAAATAAATGAATTATTAAATAATTCATTTGTAAGATGATTCATAAGAAAAAATTCCCAAAAAAACATCTTTATGATTCATTTTTAAGTAAATTAAGAAAAAATTCACTTTTATTACAATTTTAGTGAATAACAACAAAATCATTGTATAAATGAATCATCGAGATGTTTTTTTGATAATTTTTTCTTGTGAATCATCTTACAAATGAATCATCTAATGATTCATTTTGTTTGTTCGCGAAAAAAATATATAGAAAAAAACTTCTTACCTTCCTACCTAAATTTTTTTTTCTTATTTGATCTTGACTCTATATATATATATATATATATATATATATATATATATATATATATATATATAGGGAAAAGTTCAATAGACAACCATTATTAATCAAGGAACCAATGAACCAATCCTAAGCATCAGAATTTAAAGCGATCAACGGCAAAAAGAAGAGTTGTAAAATTTTATAATGGACGCACATGTACCGGATTATAAAAAAACTCACTTCATTTTTTTTCATTTAAAATTTTTTTAGGCCAAGTTTTTTATCGAAAAAAAAACTGAATACACCGTTGTTCACGATTTTCCGTCCTCTTTCCATAGAGATCCATGATGATATATAAAAAACGAACTTTTTTTTTTCGAAAAAACTCAATTAATTTTATTAGTTTTTTCAATATTTAAGTTTATTTTATAAAAAAATTAATTATACAAATATTAATTTTTTGTACTCTATTAATAAACATCAACACCGACTAAAAAAAAAAAAAAAAAAAAACTCGAACAGTGTAGATTCACACTGTGAATCTAAACTGTAAATATTTCAATTTTTAACATTCACAATATGAAAAATCTCGAACAGTTCAGATTCACATTGTGAATCTGAATTACTATTATGCACACTGTGAATCTGAGAAGGTTCACAAAAAAAAAAAAAAAAAAAAAAAAAAAAAAAAACCTTGATCAGTGTAGATTCACACTGTGAATCTAAACTGTAAATATTTCAAATTTTAACATTCACAATGTGAAAAAGCTCCGACCAGTTCAGATTCACACTGTAAATCTGACTTATTATTATGCACACTATGAATCTGAGGAGGTTCACAATATGAATCTGAACATGTTTACAATATGAATCTGAACAGGTTCACAATGTGAATCTGAACAGGTTCACAATGTGAATCTGAACTGAAATATCGTTTTTTTTTTTTTTTTTAAACATGAATATGAATCTATGTTTAAAAAGTACAAAAAATATGACTTTTGATATATTTATTAATTTTTTTTCTATAAAAAATAGGCCTTAACTTTTTTCATCAAAGAAAATGAAGTGGGTTTTTTTTGAAAAAAAAAATTCGTTTTTTATATATCATCATGGATCTCTATGGAAAGAGGACGTAAAATAGTGAACAACGGTATATTCAGATTTTTTTTCGATAAAAAACATAACCTAAAAAAAATTTTAAACGAAAAAAAGTGGTGGCTTTTTTTGTAAATGGTGGATTTTTTGTATAATCCGGTGTGTGTGCGTCCAATGTAAAAGTATACATCTATTTCTTTGGTCGTTGATCGTTATGATTTCCGACGCTCACGATTGGTTCCTTTAAGTAAATTAAGAAAAAATTCACTTTTATTACAATTTTAGTGAATAACAACAAAATCATTGTATAAATGAATCATCGAGATGTTTTTTTGATAATTTTTTCTTGTGAATCATCTTACAAATGAATCATCTAATGATTCATTTTGTTTGTTCGCGAAAAAAATATATAGAAAAAAAACTTCTTACCTTCCTACCTAAAATTTTTTTTCTTATTTGATCTTGACTCTATATATATATATATATATATATATATATATATATATATATATATATATATATATATATATATATATATATATAGGGAAAAGTTCAATAGACAACCATTATTAATCAAGGAACCAATGAACCAATCCTAAGCATCAGAATTTAAAACGATCAACGGCAAAAGGAAGAGTTGTAAAATTTTATAATGGACGCACATGTACCGGATTATAAAAAAACTCACTTCATTTTTTTTCATTTAAAATTTTTTTAGGCCAAGTTTTTTATCGAAAAAAAAACTGAATACACCGTTGTTCACGATTTTCCGTCCTCTTTCCATAGAGATCCATGATGATATATAAAAAACGAACTTTTTTTTTTCGAAAAAAACTCAATTAATTTTATTAGTTTTTTCAATATTTAAGTTTATTTTTATAAAAAAATTAATTATACAAAATATTAATTTTTTGTACTCTATTAATAAACATCAACACCGACTAAAAAAAAAAAAAAAAAAAAACTCGAACAGTGTAGATTCACACTGTGAATCTAAACTGTAAATATTTCAATTTTAACATTCACAATATGAAAAATCTCGAACAGTTCAGATTCACATTGTGAATCTGAATTACTATTATGCACACTGTGAATCTGAGAAGGTTCACAAAAAAAAAAAAAAAAAAAAAAAAAAACCTTGATCAGTGTAGATTCACACTGTGAATCTAAACTGTAAATATTTCAAATTTTAACATTCACAATGTGAAAAAGCTCCGACCAGTTCAGATTCACACTGTAAATCTGACTTATTATTATGCACACTATGAATCTGAGGAGGTTCACAATGTGAATCTGAACATGTTTACAATATGAATCTGAACAGGTTCACAATGTGAATCTGAACAGGTTCACAATGTGAATCTGAACTGAAATATCGTTTTTTTTTTTTTTTTTTTAAACATGAATATGAATCTATGTTTAAAAAGTACAAAAAATATGACTTTTGATATATTTATTAATTTTTTTTCTATAAAAAATAGGCCTTAACTTTTTTCATCAAAGAAAATGAAGTGGGTTTTTTTTGAAAAAAAAAATTCGTTTTTTATATATCATCATGGATCTCTATGGAAAGAGGACGTAAAATAGTGAACAACGGTATATTCAGATTTTTTTTCGATAAAAAACATAACCTAAAAAAAATTTTAAACGAAAAAAAGTGGTGGCTTTTTTTGTAAATGGTGGATTTTTTGGTATAATCCGGTGTGTGTGCGTCCAATGTAAAAGTATACATCTATTTCTTTGGTCGTTGATCGTTATGATTTCCGACGCTCACGATTGGTTCCTTGGTTCTTTGGTTAATTATGGTTCTTTATTGAACCTCACCCTATATATATATATATATATATATATATATATATATATATATATATATCTTCTATTCTTAATAAAAGAGTACTTTGGACGCCACATGTCCCTCTTTTGCACCTCCTACTTGCCACGTGTCCTTACCACGTTGTGTTTACCCTTGCTTTTCCCGCCCATTCCATGAAATTAAAATTATCAACTCCTATTAATCAGCAAATCCTTATTCTCGCTGTAGGACCTCCAATTACTATCAATTTATCCCTGGTAAACGAGTTCCTAAGTTTTTGGGATTACAATCAATTGCACCCAATTATTATAGGTAACTACTTTGTATTCCATGAGAAATTATTCTTCTGTAATTTAAAATCAATTTCATTCCCTCTCAAAATGGTATCTACGTAATTTTCAATCAATTTTATCTCCTCTCAAACCATATCTACTCATCGGTGTATTCCCTAAATCACGCGTCTGTCCTTCAATTTCGACTTCTTTGTTTTGGAAATCGCTTAAAATTTAAAATACTTAAATCCTTTATCAAATGGAAACCTTCAATTCTACCTTGTGGTTCAATGATTTACCGGTCATCTCTACCGTGCAGATGATCAACTGTGATTTTTACTTCAACGCACCTTATAAAGCCGCTTACACTTGTCTTCCTTCGTTGATCGTTTATTTGATGTTGCAGTGAAAAAGACTGAGCCTAATATTAGCAAGCGATCCCCTTCCTTGGATTTAAGGTAATAACCTTTAGTTTCTCCCTCTTGACCCTAAAAAGTTACATTTATCCTCAATTTTTGACCATTTTTTCAAAACCCCATGAAGATTTTAGTTTTTAATGACTCAAATTCTTTCATTTTTCTCTCACCCGATTGATTCATGTTAATGTTCTAATTTTGTTTGTTCTTTTTTCAATTTTTTTAGTTATATCAGGTTTGTAGAGAATCGTGTTTTTGTCATGACAGATGTCGATGGTCAAGAAAAAAAGAGTTTTTGATGTTCATATGAGAAAACATCATTTGATAGTAGCCATTGTGTTTTGAGAATGAATCGGTAACCCATAACCCAAATCTTCATCTTTTGTTATCGTTTTTCTATAATCCTTTTAATTCTTCATGTGTATTCAGATTTTGGCTGGGATGAACAAATATTTAAAAGATTTTGCGGGACAACTATAAGTTTCATAATTCATATACAATGGTTTTTGCTTCTTCATAAGGGTATTCGACTTTTTAGGATCTGGTCTAAATTGAGTTCTTTGTTTGTGGTTATTGTTGGGAATTTTAAGGTTTTCTCTAGATTTCGTTTTTTGTTGGTTATATATAGTTGGATTGTTTTAGTTTTTAAGGCCAATTAAATAGTGAGATGCTAATAATAGGGGAATTTAGTTATGTTTGGTGGTAAATTGGTTGTTTAATAACATTACTTACTTTATTAGGCGGATACCTTTTAATTGAAATGCTCATCTGAACTTGTAATCACCAATGTAGGTTCAGGAGGAGGTTAATACGATGAAGATGGAAAAGTGGTTACTTAATAACTTGTGAAGTTAAAATGTTTTGGGTATTTTGATTTTTTGAAATAGATTTATGATCTATTTTTTATTATAACAAATATGTTCCATCTCCTCCTCATCCTATTTTTCCATATATGTTTAAAATCTGACAGGTCGTTCTCAAAATTTGGATATGGTGATTTTCAGTCTCATTGTGTTGCTTTTAGTTTTGGATTAAAAATAATAATTTCAAGATTTATCAACTAAAAGGAAAGTAATGTCTATTTTTTTGGTTTAATACATACTTTTGTTATGTAGATATTTAGTTGAACAAAGATGCAAAAACTTGTTTTATGTTTATTCCTTTGGTGGCTCATTGTGTATTTATTTGCTGCCAGATTGATCTTTTTATACCAGCAAAAGTTCACAGTTGACAATTGGTATGTATTTCTGAGACAACTCTATTTATGAAGTAAAACGCAATTGTATTATTAAAATTTATGGAAAATTTAATATAAAAAAGTTAGATTTTGTAGTAATCTGTTCCAGAGCTGAATTTTTTGTGATGTTATAGGTATGATTCAGTTACTATGCTTTTCTCCAAAGACTAAAAATCTCATCTCAAAATATCGTATTCTCGATCGTTGAACTTTAAATTATTTATGAATGATTGGTATATTAATCAAGTTTTCACCATTTTTTCCTTTTGTTGAACTTATTTTTTGATCTTTTGTCAACTTACAGTGGGTACTACATTAGGAACAATGAATGGGCTTTGATCGACTAAGAAACAAAAAGTGTATTTTTTAAAGGTGGTGTTGTGGAGCCATGTCATGTTTCTTTTCATTAAAGTTTTAAAATCTTTGCAATTCAGGAGGATTGGATTCTTTTTCTACTTTTGAGAAAAATGGTCCACTAATTATTTTTTTAATTTGGTATACAAGACATTATTAAATTAATTTTCAATCTTTATGGAGGTGGGTTCACATACTAAGGAAGTAATTCAAGGAAGTAATTACAAATGTATATAGGATCCATAATGGTTGAGTTTTCACTTAATTTATTATGTTTTTTTTTCTTCCTAATCAAGTTCTGTTTTTATAACTAATAGCATCCTACTTCCACTTATAGCATCCTACTTTAAAATAATGTTTTTGTAACCTTCCAAGAGGTATCATGCAACCCTAACTCTTTGAAGCCGACTATGTATGACCTGAAGTAAGCAGCATTGTGGGGTGCTCTTGATGTAGAGCTGTTCTAATTGGTGTATATTTGTTTTGAATTTTAGGTTCATAGATTGTAATTTGTTTGTTCATTAACTGTTGAATATTTTTTTTTTAATATTTTGTTTAATACCAAGCTTACTTTAATTTCTTACAAATAAACTAAATATTTAATAAATGTTATATTGCCTTGCTATAAACCTATAATAACATTGTGCTTTGAAAGTACATTGCTATAATTGATGTGAATTGTTCCTCCTACTATTTCTTGCTACAAAACAAAATATAAGTTGGTATTTTTTTTGTAAAAAAGTTATATTTCATAAGATAACCTTAAAATAACAATGTACTTTAGAAGTACATTGCTATAAATGACTTGAATGGTTGCTTTTACAATTTTTTTTGAATAATATTATTATTTACTTCACTTATTGTGGTTGTTTTATTTTTATAATCAATTTAACATTTCATTAAATAATATTATTATTATTTTTCATTAATTCACAAATAAAAACTGTCTCATATATCTTGAAAAATAATTTTACATATTTATTTGAATCAATGATTATAATTTTACATAAAAAAAACATAAATGTCTTAGTTAATAATTTATTGAAAATATTTTATTAATATTTATGATTTTTTACTATAAAAATTTATTTATTTTTGTAACCGTGGTTTCCACGGGTTATAACCTACTTTATATATATATATATATATATATATATATATATATATATATATATATATATATATATATATATATATATATATTGGGAACTTATCGCATATAGATTACCACAAAAAGAAAAAAAAAAAGAAAAAAACTTAAACGAGAAGGTCAGATCAAAACTATATAGTTCAGGACAAGATACACCAAACATGTCATCTAAATTACAAAGTCCAGATCTATGGGGTGTTTTCTTAGATGTTAGGGATTTTGATATTTAGTAAGGATGCCTTATTTGTTTGCATGCGTGGTTCTTAATCCATAGTTTCATTGTTTTTTAGCTCCATGGAGTGTTTATATTAACGAAATACTTGTTAAGTCCATACAAAAAGATTATTTTGCCATTGTCCTTACTAATCAACTTCTATCACTTTTGTATCTGCCCCCATCATCTTCTTCATCTTCAAGAACGGCAGATTCAAAAAAAAAAACTGAAAAACACTTGGCTCTAATTGTAACCAAATGATATTAATTAACAAATCAATATCGAAATCGCTGACTAGAATTATAGTAGTCGCTGACTAGAATTATAGTAGTTAAAGAAATGATTTAAGTTAATTCCCAAAGGAATACTTCCTTGATGAAAACACACCAATTAAAATCAGAATGTCAAAATGTCAATTTTTTTATAAGAGAAATTAAATATCCTCCTACTTAGGGGGTGTTTGAGATTACTTATTTAAAACAACTTATGTTTATTTGTATGAGTTTTTATTAGTTTGTCCGGTATCAAAACGGAGTTTTAAAAAAATATATTTTAATTAGTTTATTTGGTATAAAAAAAAAAAGTTGATAAGTTATTTGGCGAACTTTTATTTTGTATGTGATAGTAAAACAACTTAGAGAAAACTCATTAAATAAGTCAATAAGTCACTAATAACTAAGTAAGAGTGACTTATAAAAAGTCATTATTTAAACTAATAAGTGATTATGAAATTGTTTTATCCAAACAATAAATCGTTATTATCGTTAAACCGAAATAAATCAATCAACACTTCAAATAAGCAATCCCAAACACCTAATTGTTCTTTTTATCCATTCCTCTATCACTTTTAGATGATGACAAATGTAATAAAAATTTATTAATTTTATTAAATATGACAAGTGTCAAATCTAAAGTGTAGAAAGATCTTAAAAGAAAAAAATAGGATGATATTTGATTTCTCTTTTCGTAATAGATTTAACGGGTTGGCTGTTAAGTTGGATGAGCCACGGACGGAAGTTGTTACAAAACTATGTGTTAGTGATCAAAATTGCAATAAAACTACACATTAGGTGCCATCCATGCAAAAATATAAAACATGTGGTTAAATTTAGTAGCTTTAAAAAAAATATGGATGGAATATGTAATATAGTCTAAATTATTTGTATGAGCTGCAGCTGTAATATGAGTTCTACAGCTTTTACCCATTCCACCCAAACATGTTCCCTCAAAGCCTTCTGATAAACAGTAAAACATATACAATTTGAGTAAAAAAAATCAATAAGTAGTCTATAAGCATATACTTGGCATTGCATCATACACTAGTACACAAGTCATTTAATAGTGCGTTTCAATACCCGCATCAATTAATCATTTTAACCGCATCAACAAATGTTTTCCGCACTAGTGATATATATAGGAAGTTCATGAAAAAACTTAAAGATAAAAATCATACCTAAAGAAATTAAATTTCTTACTAATTAAAGAACAAAGCAAAAGAATGTTAATAAGATTTCGTAAATTGATGGGAACCAAGAATCAAGATCCTAAATGCCAACATTAGGCCGAACGGAAGTCCTTTGCCCATTGCTTGTCAACTTTACTATAACTAGTCATGTAACTAATAAGTTTGTCCATTTGGTTGTTTGATTATTCATACTTTCTAGCATGGTTTTCAACCACATGGATGTTGTAAGTTTCCTTTATTTAAAGTCAGAATGCTGAAAAAAAAAGTACAGATGACATTTGCTTTGTATTCGAGCTAAAGTACACCATATACATGTGATGGTAAATTCATTAAAGGTGTTCAGAAAGTGGGCAAGTATATATATACATATATGACCATATCCCATCACCTCCTAATGTCTAGAAAACAACTTATTAAAGGCATTTTAATTGCAGGTCCAGTGATAATAAAGATGACATTTCACCAACCACAACAATTACCATTTTCTTCCTAATTTCTCAAGCATCTTGCCATCCAGCCTTCATTGTAAATGCTCATATTTGTGGCTTTCATTTAGCATATATAACTTAACCATGTCAAAATTGTCCCCAGTAGAGTTATGGACAATGACCCCTAAGTAAATATGGTCCCATGCCAATTCATATTTCAATTACTCATAAATTGCTTCTTTTCTTCTTTCGTTTTAAGGTGATCAATATTAGTACTGTATGAAACAGCAGGTAACTAACAAACTTAGCACATCCTATAATTTCTCAAATCGTCGGCATTTCATCAGTGTCTATTGGCATGCAGCATTTGATATTGTTGTAACTTTGTTATAATAAAAGCGAGCATGGTAATAGAAAAGGACTAGCATGTGCTTGCATTAAAACGAAAGGA